AGCTGGGCTTGGGGGGAGGGAGGGCGAGGACGGAGCGAAAAAAGCCGGACGTCATCTTGAGAACGATGGAGGGCACTCGATAGAGCGTTCCCTCTCGAGAGCAGAGTACCGCATCGGCCTCTGCAGAGCTAAAGTCGGGATGATAGGCACGTTCTGAGGTCGCAATTGCTGCCTCGTGCGTCGAAGAGCCTCTGGTGAGCGAATTCGGGAGGGTGTGCGCGGCCACGGTGGCGTCGATACTCATTCTGCGTCAGGCAAGCGGCGCCCCGCGGGTTACGTTGAGGACCAAGATGGACTGGCTCAAGATACCCGTGCGCTCTCTAGAGGAAGATCAACGTGTATGCAGCATGTCGTATACCGTCACTTCGCACCTCGACGCAGTGTAGGTACCTAAGACTGGTCCTAAGTATGATGTTCATGTCCGGATCCGGACCCGGCACGACACGTGTTTTGACCTGGATGATTATCTCGTTCTTGCCATGACCATGCTGTCGCAAATATCCCTGCTCTCTTCTTACCACCCGGAGGAAACGCAAAACTTCTGCTTATTGACCATACGCCAGTTTCTCCCCCATACTGAGCTTCATCAGGCATGGGATTCAGCGACAAGATGGTATGCCAGACGCTTCACTGCCGCGAGAAATTGACAACCGACACCTATAAACACGCAGAAGACTCACAGATCAGGGCTATCGTCCCTCTTCAGCAGTCTTCGTGTCAAAGGGCAGAAACTGACATCCTTCCCGCTGCTCGAATTACCGTACGAGCTGCTGGAGCGGGTCACCATGCTGTCAAACCCCATGGACATAATGTCACTGAGGCGGGTAGGCTACTTGCTCTTATTTTACTTCTAGTTGACATGAATGCGACTAATCTGCGCTAAAGACCTGCAAGACGATATCCACCATAACGTACAAACACTGGGTCTGGCTCGAAGTCGCCGTCGTGGTGCTGGATGAGAACGGTGTCGTCTTACCGCCGAAATTGCTCAATGATATGCCGCTCGAAGATCTCGAGCGTCTGTCGCTTCAACCTGCTCTATTTCGACGGCGTTTGCGGGATCTCGGCCAAGGCGCAGACGCTGAACTGTGGCCGGTGACCCAGTGCCTTATGCGCAACTGTTTACCCGCCGACGAAGCCATCTCAATGCATATGACGCTGGTGGGTGGCGGCCGCTTCCTCTTCGTTCAGCACGAGAATCACCGCAAGAACGACCTCTTTCTCATCCGACTACCTGCAACGTCCGAGGTTCGTGGGGAGGCGTCCACGATAGCTCATACGACGTTCCCCGAAGGCTCTCATTCTGGTCGCATACATGACTACTGGCGTGTAAAGCACAGTCGCAGCATCCTACGTCTTGTGATTTTGGAAGTCCTCAGAGTGTCGGTGATGTCTTTCTCTGTTGACCGCGCTCGCTTACTTTATTTCAGGGAGGAGCTTTATCAGATCTCTATATACGAGATCGACACCGCCGCCGAGCAACCCTTCTTTGCTCTCATCGCACGGACGAGCGACTTCGGTGATATTACTGCCATGACCAGCGAGATCAAACACTGCGGCGAAAGCCGTATTTCTCTCTGTGACCCCAAATCCCTCCTGCTGTGGGACTTTGCTCGCGACGAGCGCATCTCTTTCAACATACCCGGACCTCCAAACCCCTGGGACTACGTGCTACCGGTAGGTCTTGCGCACCATATTCTCACGTTGCTTACCGTACTTGTTCGCACCAGCATGTCAAAGTCGTCGACAACCGCGTCATCTACCTCCAGCGTCACCGCCTTGCCATATACGTCCTCCCTCGTGACGCCAAAGGACCCCTCGGAAAACTCAGGCCCTCTTTCGAGCTCAAGTCATCCCATCTCAGCAACGTGTATTTCCCGCACCCCGCCACGCCCCGCGACCCCTTCGTCTTCCACGTGCATGATCGGTCCCGAGACAATATCCGCACGTACGAGCTTTCGCGCGGTTCTGGCGTACCACGAGCGGGCTCCCCGCGCCCTATGCCGCGCTCCGGCGCTTGGGGAGAAATCTGGGGCCCGGCACCGTTCGTGGGGTGCGCGGGGGCGCACGTCATCACACGCATTCTGTCGCTCAGCGCCCGCTATGCTATGTGGATCGACGACGACGGTGCTGAAGGCGAAGCATATGCGGGGTCTGCGCGACTCATGTGTGGGGATGGGGAGAGTCTCTTGGACCAGGCGACGTTCGACGCGGTGTCTGGGCGAATGTGTGTCGCTGGCCCTGAGCATTCGCTGCTCGTTGTGGACTATGTGTAAAGCTGGTGTCGCCGACAACAATGCGATGCTGATGCAAGAGCGCCTCTTCATCATATGTCATGGAACCTGCAAAGCTGCGTGCGCGCCATCTCATATCCGCTCATGCATTCATCGTTCACCGCCGTCCATAATACACGTGCTGAACAGCACCTAAAGGCATGCAACCGAGCATATGTACATTCTGTGCTGCTGTCCATCGTCTTTATCCTCCCACCATGCCTTCTCGGCGAGCGAACGACTGCAGGACGTTCACCGACGTTATTCCCAAAATCATGCCCTTCATTTGCTCCCTGATATCCGCTATCTGCGCTTTTGGCAGCAACCTGCCTCATGTGACGGTATTTGCAGCCTTCGCGGGCAGGTCAGAACTCAACAGCTTTACAGGTCTGCAATCGTGAAAGTCAGGTCCCGCTGGTTCACACCGCTCGCTCTCGATGTGGAAGCAGATTCAGAACGCTCTCGCCCTACTTAGCCATTCGGCTTCGTCGGGCATAGAGCTACGACCCAGAGTCACGGCTTGGTTCAGGCTCCACGCAACTTCATCGACATCTTTAGGCCCATCAAGGTCATTCCCAAGACCGGTCACAATATAACAGCAGCCGCTCGCCACTGTTAGGACTTACGACACCTGTCCATGTTCAGCATCCCTCCTTTCGAGTACTTAGCAGATCAGAGAGGGCGTGTCCAGAGAAGATTACGCAAGATCTCATAGTGGCATTCATCCCATATATGTATGCGATATGTTGCAGCACAAACCTATCTATTTCTCGAAGTCTGAGAGATTGGTTATCGAGATCAGCGTGAGCGGCCAGGAGCGACGCGCGACCGGTGGTTTGCTTGACAGACGTCCTGCTGCAAAAGACCTCTCTTCGCCGCCACCTGGAAGCTCGGCGGTGCCGCCTCGAAGATCGCCGGCGTCATCTTGAGGCCCGCGGACGACCTGTAGGCGATGCAAGTACCGCTCAGACATCTTCCATATCCCAGTACACATCAGCTCCTACGACAGCCCTGTGGCCGTGGTGCGAGGGGAGACCAGACCCACGAGAGACAAGGATGGACCTGCTCAGCGCAGGACCCGATACGAACCTCGAGCGACCAAAATCAACTCCCGTGCAGTGCCTTGCAGACCCATCTACTATGCTCCACCCAGTGTTTACCGGAATCGCCGTTTTCGCGTAAACACTGTTTTTTGGACGTGGGAAGTCGGATTTGGACGAGGAAAAAACTCAGACATACGTATTTGTAGGCAGCGGAAACGATGGTGAAGACTGCTTGAGTGTAGAGTGAGGCGTTGATGATATGGAACGTGAAAAGGCGCTGGAAAGGCATCAAATTTTGTTGATCCCATCAGCGCCTCGTTTCGCAGCAGACAGCCAACGACGAACTTTGAGCTCAAGCGGTCTTCACCAACGTGTTCGTTGCTTCTGACTACATATGTCTACGTTTTTTCCGCGCTCAATTCCGACTTCGCAAGCCCGAGAAACAGTGTTTACGCGAATTCGGCGATTCAGGTAAACACTAGGTGAAGCATAGTATCTATATGTACCCAAGTGATAATGTACACCAGAGATAAATATTGCGATGAACAGGATAGATACCTGGATGGCGTAGTTTTGTACGGCGCGTACAGGCGTACACACCGCATTGACAATATGCCCCGCGTAGAGACCATGCACCGCGTAAGTAGAGGGGCACACAACGCGAATGGATCTCCGGAGTTGAACTTCCCGCCGTCCGGGGAGACACGCGAAACCAGTGTCCGAACGTCCCTGACCAGTACCGGAATGCCCAAGGCGCCGGAGGCGGTGAATAGCTACTCATCAAGCCCCAGAGAGATGACGAGGCACCACGCATCGAGTGGGCGCTACTTGCGACCGAAGAGCTTTCTTTTTTTCTTTTCGTCGAGGCTCGCCGTGGAGTCCTTGCGCTCCGGAGTCGACGCAGACCCGTGGACGGAAGGGGAGGGGTGCGCGTCTTTGCGGAACGACCCTGCGTTCATAGCTTTAATGAATCCTCTGAGGAATGGGGAGTCGCGCGACGTCAGTCATGGGAAAGGATGTAGGGAGCGTGGGCAGACGCACCGCTGGGTCGCGTCGATGTAGTCGTCGCGTTCGACGCGACCGGAAGTCTTGACGGACACGCCTGATTTGGATATGTCGAGTCCCCGATCTTTGAGTCTATGCGACGGGGAGGGCAGGGGAATGAGGAAGAGGGGAAAGGAACGTGGGGGGAACCGTCAGCTCTAGGAGGAAGCGGACGAGAACAATCATTACGCACTTGGCTTTCGTGGACTCCATGCTACTGGACAGAGTTTGTGACACGAATACAATGCCATACACGACGCCGCCGACGGTAGCTAGGATCTAGAGTCAAAAGCATGTCAGAGACCGGCGGGCGCTCGGGACGGCAGCAGCGAGCGCACCACGACCAGAAGTAGAATGTCTGTCCTACGGAGGAAGACGCTTCAGTCTTCAGATGTTCGGGAAAACACTTTATTCCCTACCAGCTAGCCATTCTGAGATCAATGAAAGCAACGAAAACAAGATGGAAGAGGGAACAAAGGATGAAAGGATTCGGAGAGCAGGACGCGTTGCGTAACTGTTGATGACAAGGAAGGCTGTACCTTGCCCCTCAATGCATCATCATGAGGAGCTGATCCGATCACTAATACCTCCGGGTGACGCACATCGCCGGCCAAAAAGCTTTTAAGTCATGGTCACAGCATGGCATGACCGCGGATTGAACGCGGGACCTTCAGAACTTCAGTCTGCTGCTCTCCCAACTGAGCTATCACGCCTAAACGTAAACGTTGCGTGGCTGGTTTGAGTGTTGGGACACGGACACTTACTTCTTCCCTGCTTATGAGCCATCCCCAGTTCCTCTTGATCTTGGGTGAATCGCTCGACCAGCATCGAAATCGAATCTTTTGTGCTGGCACCCTCTCAAATGTTGCGCTCGCTGTTCTCATCAACCCGCCGCGCCACCGAGAACAATGAGGGAGGAAGAGCGTGCATATAATCTCTACCAGACTGGCCGCCCGACCGGCCCCTCTATAGCCTATCTAAAAGCACATTTCTAGATCCTTCTTCGTCTAACACATCCCATCGTCGTCATCACAAATCATCAAGGGGAGCGCCTGACTGACGGAGAGCGCCCGACTGAAGGAGAGCGCTTAGGCAACGCGCTGCTTCTTCGCCGCGTCCGCCTCCGCGCTGCCGAAGTACTCGAGCTTGTCGGTCGGCGTGGGCTTGATCGTCTTGCCGCCCTCGGTCCAGTTGGCGGGGCACACCTCGCCGTACTCGTCGGTGAACTGGAACGCCTTCACGAGGCGGATCGTCTCCTCGACGGAGCGGCCGACCGGGAGGTCGTTGACGGTGATCTGGCTGGAGGAGAGTCAGCAAAGACTGAACTGAAGATGGAAGATGAAGAGTGGAAGCGAGCGATGCGGAAGTCATGATGGATGGTGATAGAAGACAGGTGATTGGGTCAGCGAGGATTGTGGGATAGAGACGCACCGGAGGATGCCCTTCGGGTCGATGATGAAGAGGCCACGGAGAGCGATACCGGCGTCCTCGATGAGAACACCGTAGTCCTTCGCGATCTGCATGCTGCGATCCGCAACGAGGGCGATCTTGAGGTCGGGGCCGAGGCCACCCGCCTTACGCTCAAGCTGCGACCACGCAAAGTGTGCGTACTGCGAGTCGGTCGAGAGGCCTGCAAGGGTTCGTTAGTGCCCATGAACGAGCGATTCCGGATACTACGCACCGAGGACAGTGGTGTTGATCTGCTTGAACTCGCTCAACGCGTCGTTGAACGCGAGAATCTCCGTGGGGCAGACGAACGTGAAGTCCCTGGCGCATGCCGTTCAGCGCCTTGCTCTTCCCTTGCAGACACCCTCTCTTACTCACATCGGGTAGAAAAGCAGGACAACCCTGGAGGATCGCGCCCATCAGCGCGCGTCTGGACAAAGACAAACGTGCAACGCACCACTGGCCGAGGTAGTCGCTCAGCGAGATGTCCTTCATCAAGCCATCCTCAACGGCGGCGGCGGAGAAGGTCGGGGCGGGCTTCTGGATAATGGCAGGCATGGTCGTGTCGTGGGGTGAGCAAGGAAAACTGAGGGGAAGCAAGGCCGCGAGCTGCGCCCTTTTATATATCGAGCGATCGCGCTGCGTGTTATTTGGCCCCGCTTGCCTATCGGCCCATCGGCATCGGCCGCCGAGCCTGATAAGCGACCGTCGGAGCCGTCCGCATCCCCATGTTCGACTTCGACAAGTTCAATTCATGCTCTGCAGAGATGAATGAGCTAGCAGGCCCAGGCCGTACCCGCCTCCTCTGTGCGCTCGAGCAGCGTACCCTGCGTACCCTGCGGCGCCGTCGTCGGCGGGGGTGCGCGCCACGCCCCAGTCAGCTTCCGCGTCACGTCCACGGGTTGTGTAAGACGCTCCCGTGACCGGGCTGACTGATGCGTCGATCAGGCGTACGTTGGCTCCTCGCTGCTGAGTCTGACGAGCTCGTGCAGCTGCGGGACGCGCTACTACTAGCTGTCATGAGCGCGACGCGCAAGCCATCTGCCGTCCTGCGCCCTCGGCGACAGTGTGTGACTCACTATGTACTTAGGTCATGTGCACGCTGACTGAACTGCACAAATTATCTAACCGACAGAGCTTGAAGTGAGCCCATTTCTGCGAGGAGCGAGTAATCGCCCGCTCCAAGTTCGTGATAGGGAAATACCTCTGCCCTCAGACGTGGCCTCTTGCTGCCAGCGCATAGCTGGCTGTGTCGGCGGAAGGCTGGCGAACTTCGCAGCCGAAGCATCTCGAAAGATCGCGAAGGGAAATGGCACCCATTGGCACGATAACTCAGAGCCTGGAATATGGGCCTTCTCGTAGCGCTGGCGTTTGTTTGGCGCACTGGAAAGTCACGTCTGCAGGGTTCTTGAGTATACTTACTGTATCAAAGACACGCCTCTTCCGCAAGCTTGATGCTGGCGTCTCCAGCCGCCTACAGCGTGTCAATCAGAAGACAACAGGGCGAAGCCGCCGAACACATCCCACCAGTACCGCGTCAAGGAGAAGGTCCGGAGGGGGTTCAGGCATGGCCTTTGTAAACTGCAGGCAATCCTCGCGGACGATCGCAGCATCTATAGCGTTTCAGCAGCCTCTATAATACACACCGAGCCTGACATGCATAGTACATACACCTTTATACAGCGGCGAGCTGCTCTCTAGCTGAACTTCGCCAGACCCTCCGACACGGCTGTCTGCACGGCCTCGATGACCTTCGGGTGCACCGTCTTCTCCGCGGCGACGACGCCAAAGTTCTCGCCCAGCGTCCGCCCGAGGCCAAAGTCGAGCGGCTGCCCGCGGGAGTCCGAGATGGAGCCACCGGCTTCTTCGACCAGTACGGCGCCCGGTGCGTGGTCCTGAGAACAACGGATGAGCACACGCGCGTGCACGAAGACACGCAAGACGTACCCATATCTTCTCCCGGTATCCCGTCCCCACAGGCATGCGCAGGTACGCGCCGCCCTCGCCTCGCGCGAGACAGCAGTACTTGGCCTGGCTGTCCATGCGCACGGGGGGCAGCGTCACGCCCAGCACTTCTGATACGCGTGCGTTAAAGCCGTGGTCCGCGTGCGCGGCCTCGACGGACTCTAGGAAGCTGATCTTGGAGGAGGGGAGGACGGGGAGCTGGAGGGGCTTCGGGTCTGCGCCGGCGAGGGTGTACTGCATGATCGTGAGCGACTGCAAAGAGGTGACTGATCGACACGCACCTGCTGTGCTCCGCGGCCGCGGACGGCGACAAAGATGCAGCCCTTCTCGCCGTCTGGCTTCCCCACCTCGACGTGCAGGTTCGGGCAGCCGATCGCGCCGACCTTGACGGCGCCGTCGACGATGAGGGACAGGCAGACGGCGTACTGGCCGCCGCGGAGGAACCCCTTCGTCCCATCGATCGGGTCGAGCGTCCACATCCCTGCATCCGTTAGCATGATGACCGCAAATATAGTTTGGTCACGCACGTCCTGTCCGTCCCCCGTTGTAGCCGCCGCGGTCGATCGCGTCGAGCAGCTGCTCCGGCGTGCGCGCGGCTCCCGGGCCGATGCCCCACTGGACGAGGTCGCCGAGCGCAAGCTCGCCGGTGATCGCCTCGTTGGCGAGCTCGACGATGCGGTCTTTGAGCGCGCGGGACGCGTCGGTGTCCTCGCGCAGATCGGCCGAGTCCTCCTCGCCGACGATCAGGTCGTCGGGGAAGGCGTTGGCGAGCATCGTGCAGATCAGTGCCTGCGCGGAAAAGTCGCCCACTGCGAAGCGTCAGCGGCTTGCACGGATACTCTCGCTGCTACTCACCAGTAACTGGAGACTTGTCCCCCTTGACGAGGGTCTCGTTCTTGATCAGTTTGTTGAAGACGGAGGCGGTGAGGTAGCAGGCGCGGCGCACGGCGCACAGCGCAAACTCTGCTTCTTTCTCGTAGGGCTGGGACATGCTGGGGAACGAGCGGGGGAGCGAAAGAGAAAATGAGCGGACCAGGGACGGCCGCGCGCGGGTACAAATACGAGACTGCCAGCGGGCCCAATTCCAGATCATCTCCACGAGCGAGCGGCTGTCACCTCATTGTTGCGTGTCAGGCGCGGTCATGTGATGTATTAGCAAGATACGAGTCGCGAGCGGCAGGTGGCAGATGTGCTGGATAGCGCTGGATGAGCCAGCGGGCGCTGAGATTTATGGAATAAGTACCTGAGACGACGTGTATTGAAGAGCAAGACGTTGATATGGTGAAGTTGCCAGTATGACCAGTGCCTCCAGGTCATGAGTGTCGAGGGATCCACCGCCGTGGATCGTCCAAGGCTCCTAAAACGAAACCCTGAGGACAATCTGGGCGAGAACGACGAGGGCGTGTGCGATACAAGCATTTATTTGGCATTGTTGTGGCAACGTTGAACAACGCGGCCCGGACGCCGAGGAACTTTGAAATACTTCGTTCGACGAGTCGGCTAAGTTCAGACTCTGGATGCCTCTTGCTCCGAACCATCATGATCCAAGCGGTCGGCTCGTTCCGAGCCCTCTTCGATGCTCTGCACAAACTTTCATACCGAAAAATCTGGCTCTGTCTCGCATAGGAGCCGAAAAAGCCTTGAAAGATGCTCAGTCTGGTCTAGCCACGAAAAGCGTCGATTGTGAAATCATCACACAATGCACCAGCACCACCTCGACACCCGCGTCGCCTGTAGAGGCCACGCGTGCGGTGACTCCGCCCCCCTCCATGCCCAAGGCTCATACACCTCACCCGTCGATCGAGCGCATAGTCTCTCTTCTCGAGAGCGCGCTAGCGGCCGTGGTCACCATGCAGGACTCGCATCCCACCATGACCCTCTACCCCGAGCACGTCACGGACATTCTCGCATCGTTGGCCCGACGCATCACGCCGCACAGCGACCCAGCCACCTCACATGTCTCCGACCAGGCATCTCCCATACCGCCGCGACCGTCATCGTCGCCGTCAACAAGTCCCGAGGCTGCGCGTGCCCTGTCGCCGCCCCCCCGGAACAATTCGTCCTTCGCCTCGGTGACAGCATCAGGCCCACACAGAGCCACACCCTCCGAAAACCACCCACTCGTGCACAGCGCCACTAGCAAGACCCGCTCGTCATCCCCCCGAGCCACTTCCTCTACCACTCCTGCCATTCCAGAGCGCCATGGACCAGCCCGATCACGCACGGCACACCCATCTCATGCCACCGCTCCGTCCCCTTACAGCTTCACCATGCACTGGACTCCATCCGCACACCCTGTTCA